TCTCCCTCTCTCTCTCTCTCCCTCTCTCTGTTACTTACTTTTAGTCCTGTTGACGGGTAGAAAACAGTCCCTCCCGTAGTAGTCTTTCACCTCCGGGCTGGCTTCAGACCACCAGCGCTCCGCCACCCTCTCCATGTCGTACGCCATGATGCCTGGGCACGGAAATTATGTTTGTTTGTTTTTGTTGTTGTTGTTGTTGCTGCTGCTGTTGTTGTGGTTTCTGTTTGTTTGTTTGTTTCTTTTTTAATCAACGGGCAACAGAAACAATAATAGCAACAAAAGCAACAGGAATAATATTTATGGTGATGATGATGATGATGACGACTATATTAATAACTTTAAAAAATGGTATATGACGGTAAAAAATTCGATATTGATAATGATGATTTAATGATGATAATAGTGATGATAATAATTATAATACTAATAATTGTGGTATAAAAAATATACTGAAACAAGCAGACAATACGTTGCCTTTTGCAAAGTTCTATCCGACATTTTTACCCGTTTTGACTTACCGAGACCATGAGCTCAGAAATCAAATGTTCTATCTGCTCTATGAAAATTGTAAGATTATACGAAGTGGCAATTTAATTACTACCGAACTAAAAATGTTATTAATGTTTCCCGTGTGGTCATAAGGTCTTATGCAGTTGCGAGCACCGGCAAACACTTACCAAAAGAAAAACCGAAGTTGTAATCAAGATATTCAAAGAATTGCGTTCGAAAAAAGCTTGACCGTGTCGTGAGTCTCTAAATCAAAGTCAATTTTTCTTAAAACTAGGTAATGAGCAGATGCATAACTGTGACCTCGAGCCCAAGATAAGAACAGCCTGACTGAAATTGTGCGCCCAGTGCCGCCGTGAAAAAGCGAAAAAAAAAAAAAAAGAAAAAAAAAGACAACCTCAATACAAACAAACAAAACCAACTCACCGGTCCGGAAACCGCTGGGGACGATCATGGAGACGTAGATGCCCATGGGTCGGAGTTCGTACCTCCATGTCTCCGTGAGCATAGCCACAGCGGCCTTGGAGGCTGCGTACACGCCCATTTGTGAGGCCGGGGCTAAACCTAGGGGGCGTGAGGAGGTGGTGAATGGTTTTTAAAAAAAATATCTTTTAATGGGATGTAGAATATATTAGGGTTTGTTGTTGTTTTGCAGTTATTGTCGAGAGAGAATATTCCTATTTTTGCCCTACCCAGAATATTTTGCACATCCTTTTACAAAAATTGATGTATCATAGTAAAATTATATACCGTGCCGTATATGATGAAAAAAAAGTTGGGGTAATAAAAATTTTAAAAAATATATAATATACGTACACACATTC